TTGTCTTTGACTAAAAAATGATTAAATGCAAGAAACTATCCAAAATTTTAATGCAATCTTAATTGTTTACCCAACCAGTTATATCTGTCAAGTTTTATAGGAGAACATTATTTATTGAAATCAATCAGCACTGAAAATCTATTGTTCAGCCTAAAGCGCTGTACCGTTAGGTTGTACCGCCTCGGCTATGCTAAAACATCGTGATATTATGTGTGCATGTATGTTTGAAAATCGGAACGGATGTAGTAGATTTCAATGTTTTATAGCACATAGTTTCTGATATTTTTACCAGGATTTTAATGATGATATATTATGATTCCCGGAAGAAAACGACCAAGGGTTTCAAGTTGTCTGATAGCGCCTCGTAGTCGACACAGCGGAAAAAACGTAAAGAATGTTTGTGAAATATATTTATTCTCTCCTCATTACAATGCGTACCATTAAATTAATACTTTATTGTTATTACTGGATCAATAAAGCAATAAATTTTCTTCAATTCTATGGGTTTGTTTATCATCAGCAGCCGTCGTGCCTATCATCGTGAGCATCATGGGTCGCCACGAAATTAACATGATGGTACAAAACGTACACGTGCTACGCTTCCTCTTGTTTCGCTAGTCATCTTCTATGACCTCAAGCGTACGTAGAAATTAATCCGTGTACGTTAGTGTGTATACGCAGAACTATGTGAATATGCAAGTACTTACGTCCTGTCACTCCTGTCTGGTACAGACAACGTACCGTGCGTCATACTAGGAATACACGTAACAGCAGTAGATACGCTACGTTACCATACGAATGCGCTTCTCCAGCAACAATAGCAAAAGGAATATAAGCAGAACGAAATTGATCCCGCAAACGGTATAAAACGTGCGCGTGAAACAGCGCCCCTCATTCGCTTCAGTGCGGAATCAGTCTGCGACTGTCTTCGGCTTTGTTGACACCTCACGTCGTATACAGGGACAGTGACGCTTGTAGTGTCCTTAGCAGGAGAACACCCGAAAGGTAAATAGGCATAAGCACGAACGTAAAACCAGTAGGCTCTTGTCAAAGCCCGTCGAAGGCAGAAGTCTGCTAGCAGAGCCTAGACCTGGCTTTGCAACAGCAAAAGCAGTTCTTCGTCACTGCGCGAAATGGCAGCCTATGCACTTTCTTGCCGGATTTGTCGAGTGTTGTTGCTGCAAATGTATGCGCATAGAGAAATACACAAATTGCACGCCGAAGATGTACAACAATACAAAAGTACAGATATTGCAACGCGACAGGTGTGTATGAGAAATATGCATACATAACGGCATATGTACAAACACACAGAAACGTTGGCAAGCTACGACATGCAGATCAACAGATGGAAAAATGCAGAGGGGCATATGCATACTGGGGCGCGGAATGCATTGTCTAAATTTTGGCAGCAACATGGAAACAAGTGGTAGAAGCGTAAACAGAAAAAAGAAAGTAAAGAAGAAAAAGAGAGAGAAATGCAGCAACGAATGCCCTGGCGCAATCGTCTAATTTGTCAATTGGTGTTACCCAGTCTAGCGAGACGCAGGTATTTCTCGGATAAACGGGAACAAGACAATGATAAAATGTGACACTGACCGCAAAACGATAATAAAACTAGAGGTATGAGGGACTCGCGCAAAAGAAGGATAAACGAAAGGTAGGCATGAAGACACAAGAAAGGCCAGAGTGAAATAGGCTGCTATAACAGCAACTGGAACGCGATGGGCCTGTTTATTTTTCAAGGTTCCTGTACTTAGCAACTATCAATAGCTTTTTGGGAAAGAAGGGTACTACGGAAAGGCCTATGTTATAATCGTGTAAGCATAGGCTACATACCAGACTGATATGCTCATTAATGGACATATATATATAAAAGAAACTAATGACCCATGTAAGAATTCTTCTTATGTATGGATTAAGCCCGGTTGCAGCGCGGGTGCTAAACCTTTACTTCGACTAAGAACTTCTTCTCCAGGCTATGGAATATGAACTTTAATTAACATCAACTTGGGACAGGATCCTTATATAGTATCTAGTAATTAACTGCGACAAAACACCTGTCATATATACACGTATATGTTGAGGTTAGACAATCGTATTTCTCCTCAATATCGTTTCAGCCATTCTTAGTCACCTGCAGCGGCGAATTCGCGACCACCCTCAAATTGTAGGTTGTGGGCTGATCTATCGACCACGAAGCGGTTCGGTTGTTGAAGCCTCTGCGCGCCAAAGTGGCTTTCCTGGCCGTTCGTACACACCTGCCTATGTCATACATTTATCTCCTATATCCTTGTGTATATAGGCAGCATGCGACCTTCGGGCTTGAATGCCGCTTTGCAATACAACTCCATATACGACCCAGATCCAATAAAATGCGAAAACGGTATATCTATTTCGTCGATCTCAACGTCTGAGCCACGAAAACCAAACGAACGTCCTCCCTATTGCGTCGAGAAGCTCTGCTACATATCTGTCGGGTTTTAATAGAAGCTCGACTTACGGCTTACTCCTGGCCAATCTATTAGAGTTCAGGTTAAGTTTTGGTAACCTTGAACGTTGCTAGTGGTATGCTTACAGTTTTTGCCCATAATCAAGCGACGATGCCGCCAGATTTGCACCGGTCGTCGATTATAGGTAAACAAAAAACTCTAAGATACCCCCATCCCTGATAAGGGGAAACTCTGGCATTTGGGGAAGCAAACAATAGTAGTAAAAATAAAAAGGGTAGGATATGTCGGGATGCCCCGGGACAGCCGGCAAAGCTCCAGCTGAAGGGCAAAAATCATTGAAATTTAAACGTACATTACTTGTAGCTCCTGCAGAATGGACGGAACAATGCGGAAATAGAGTGTATCGAGCAGAGCCAACGATAAATAGGCCAGCTCAATTGTAGGCGCACTATCGAACGATAAATTAAGCCGCAAAATTATGGCTCGTATCGACTGAAAGTAGAGGGCATAATTGAATGACTGCATACTCAGATGAATCATTATCGGTAAATGTTTTCTAAATATAGTTTTATCGCTAATCGACATAATGGCGTTTATTTGTTGGTGTTTGGCCGCAGAGGTTAGAGTAGGCGCCAGAATGGAGAAATTAGGAGGATTTTATAATAACAATGATTTTCCTCTAATGGCCACCGCGCATTGCTTTTAACTTAAATCCACTTTAGTTTGGAAAATAGCTACAATCAGCCGAATCACCGCAATAGAAGTAAACTACGATTGAAAAAAAAAAACGTATTCGCTGGTATATAGTTGTAACACAATTATTCATATTATCAGTCAAGCAGCTCTCTGGGCAAAAACACTAATATTGAGATTGCTACGGGAAACTTTATACAGTCTAGCCAGTGAATAGTTAATTATTGGCAACGACTAAGGCTTCATCTACCACCTTCATATTGACCAGCTCGGTAGACGTCGGACATCGGTAGCCTCATCAAGATAATTTACGGGCCTCACAAAAATAGGTTTTCTAGCGAAATCACATCTTGCGCTGTCCATCCGAGCGATATGTATATGTTTGGAAATTACATGAGGATTTTAAGCTTTCATATAGAGATCTGCTTGCTCGATAATAAATAGCGAACTGCCGCGCCACATATCTTGACAATCTTAGTAATGTGAAGTTCGAAATATTGGTAAGAACTAGTGTAAACCTTTCTTAAACACTAAACTGAGAATAATCATCGAGAACACATAAACAAACTCAAGAAGAAGTGTTAAAATTGTTAGCGTTAGATTAACAAATATTTCTATGTAGATGCCCGACATTTTTTTAAAAAGAAAGTTTGACTTAGTGGGCAAACGTTTTGGCCCAATAACGTCCGCCCGTCGGGGTATTGCCTGACTCATTGGCTCACCCTAGACAGAGATCGCTCTCCTATGCCCGATAGCTGGCATATCTTCTGTTATTGAATGGTCTTATAAAGAAAGGATGACCTGTGTATTAAACACAGCGAACAAGTATATCATGTATACTAGCGCAGGAGCTCCAAAGTGATTGGTCGAGAAACTAGAAATAGGCTTGCCTCGATCGCCCCATCATCTTCACTTGAGCAGTTACAATTTAAAATGGCTAAATAGTAAGCTGACCGCTAGCCAAAGGGAATTTGCTGAACAAGCTCGCAAAATGGTCGATCAGTTAAAAGCTGTTATCGGCCAAACTAGTATGCCCTATAACTAATTATGCAAGCTCGCTAAAAAGACGCTGATTAAAAGAGGCACAATCGAACAGCCATTACTAATGACGCTATTCGTCCAACCCTTAGAACTTTTAGCTATGACTGAAGAGCCGACGGAGCAGCAAAAAGTTAATCGAAGATATTAGCAGCCTGATTGTCATCACTGATACCGTCTTCTGCATCAATAAGGTGGCATTGCGTAGGTGTCATATCCCGCTCGTGCAGCTTCCTCATACGACGTAGGAAGACAAATAGAATAGCGTTTGAGGAACGTTTTCTCTCTAACAAATAGATAACCTGCAACCCGCGCCCTTCGATCACGCCGAAAACACATTCAATTCATTGTGACTCCGTAATTAACACTATAGAAATTGAATTTGATATCTCTAGTTCGGCAAATCAGCGGTCGGTTACTTAAGCTACAGTTGCAATGCTACGCCGCAAGTATGTCCAAATAACAGCACGTAAAAGTAACAGTCTCTTGAGAGCAATTCGCAAGCTCCCGAGTTTACCTACAGGACAGACCTAATATAATTGTCAGAACATCTCAGTTAATTAAGAATACTACGCATTATTCTGTGGAAACAGTTTCGCTACCTCGGTTGTAAGATATCGGTGTCGATTCGCACGTTAACTGCCCTTTTCGTAACATCTGTTCCATGAACAACATGAAAAATAAGGAGTCCCTAAGAAATTCGAATCGAACGTTTTCGAAACGACCTACTGCTCAGTGACCCTTCATACCGCTAAACAAAAAAGTACCGCTGAGAATGACTGACGCGCCACCTATGTTTTTCCACGACGTTTGTTTCTGTCAATCGTCTTGATGGTGCAGTGCGGTATCATTCTACCATTGGAATACGAGGCTAAGCTACAAGCTCGCGATAAGCTGACACCACTTACCAGCAGCAAACTCTTTGACCGTTTATTTCCTTTTGCGGTGTGTCTTTTAATAGCCGAAGACCGTTTGTGCTGATGGGATGTGCGGCACTGCATGAGACTGAGTCGAAAAATTTGATCAAGTCGACCACATCACTTGGGGTTGGTCTGCCCCTTGACATGTTCAATGCTCCCGGTTTATTAAGAAACTAGGTGGAAAGGTATCGAAAGTCATCGATTTCCACAGCAGTTTTAGACGTGAGCAATGTTTCGGCGTAAATCCAATAGAAAGACGATGAAGCTTCGCCAGCCCCTAGAACGAAACATCTTGTTGTGGGTGCTGCTTCTCAATGCGGGCTTTAGCAAAGCATATAAAGGTTGGCTCTTGGTTACCATTATAGTATTTAGGCGTACCGCCATCTATAGATAACGATATTCCAGTTAACGAAATGATGATTGTTCTTTAATACTGTAGATACGCCTCATTTGGTGTGAAAAGGTCGTTACGGTCGTAAGTACTAGTCATAAGGAGATATTAGTATTATATTAAGACATTTTGTTTGGTCCAATTGTCTTAATATAGCGGAGCTCGAAATCAGTAGTTGTAGAAATAAACATTTGTACTAGATACGCTATATTTGTATAATTTGCACAAATACGGGGGTAAATATGATCGCATAGCTGAACAGGAGCGGTAGTGACGATGAGCTGAACTTCTTATTCTTCCGAGCAGTGTTTGAAGAATGAAAAAGAAGCTGCTTGATGACATGTACTGTGCCGCCTGTTTATGTATGTACACGTATACATATAGACTAGCCACTTGTCGGAATCATATTCTATTTTTGGTTTACAGTATAAATCGTTAGGGGAAAATTTTTGGTGTTAGAAATAACGGCTGCGTTCGAGGGTAAATCACTGCATGAAAGCAATACGATGAGTCACTCATTACGATTTAAGCTACCAAAAACCGTGACGAAGTAGTGAAAAAATGACGCGCTTGTATGTTTTGAGATTACAAAGCAAAAAGCTGTGGCCAGATATAAACCATCAAAATTCAGCAGGTAAATACGGAAAACGATTCGTGCATAGGTTAGCGGCCTGCGAAGTATAGATCAAGTAAATATGGCGGGATGTATTGCAATAAACGACCGTAGCAAGTTGGCCTGTATCAACGTTTGGATGAACCTTGTCAATAAAAAGAAATCGCTGCTGTTTCAAATTTAACGTGCAAAAGTAAACGTATAACGTTCCTGACAGAAAAAAAAACATTCCAGAACCTTCCCGACGTGCCGAAGTAACGACCCACAACATAACAATGAGGGCGGATGTCGTGCAACTCAATTTTGGTTTCCGTGACGACGGAACTCTCAGAATTTTTAGGGCAGCAATTGATGAGACCATCAGGATGGCGTACACGTTACGCTACTGTGACAAATCAAAGCCTAGGAACTTACAATTTTGCGGTCACCTAAACGTAGAACAAAACAACCATACTGCGGTGAGAAGATCCTAACATCTTGAATTCATACCATTGCTTTACCCTTCACGTTTGTATTCGCTTTTTTTTTGTTTTTTTTTTTTTAATATTAGCTTGTATATATATTAGTTTAATATTAACTTGTTTCATTTATATAATATTAAATGTTCGACTTTTCCGAGCCCCATCAGGAGACAGCTAAACAGTAACGAGCAAAAGCGAAAATTTCAGATTTATTTATTTGACACTAATTGTTAAGCTAAATTTTTAGCGAGATTCACTACATTTATGAGCGTCAAAATACCATTTTGGCAATTAGGACATGTACTTAGTATCCTTATGAGCTCCGGAAGACTGAGCTACGAGCTTAGCATTTTCTATAAGCGTGATTCACAACCCGTGAGAAGATGTTTTTCTAAATAACCTTTTATCAGCGCCATCATAGTTCATGTGGAACAGCAACAAGTTTAATAAGATTAAAACCTAAATACATAACTAATATCGTAGATATACAGATGTACGAAAACGAATTGCAACTCTTCATTATACGTATTGATAATATTTAGGACGCTCACGCGGATCGTGTCCGCGTTTCCCGCTGTTATGATATGATTGTCACCATTTACTCAGCTCTAGCTTTATATCATCGGACGCAGTTGATATCTCAATGTGTACCATAATTAGAAGAAATTATAAACGAATTTAGCGTATATTTCAAGAAAAAATCTAGTTAATTTAGCGTGTACGATGTAGTGTCATATTGAAACCATGTTGTTCTCGCAGCTTGGTCAATGCCCGGTGGCTTCGAAGCCAACCATTGACACACTTCGTTCTATAGTAAGAGCTTCCGGACCTTTGGGGCACTGCAAAGAAAATAGTAACAAACGCGCGAATAAAAGCTAGCAGCTATAGTGATATGAAGTAGGGCAGTAGACGATACGCTATGAACTCGACCTAACCTGATACAGACATCAAAACTTGTTACTAATAAGCTAGGCTTATGTAGCTTACGTGTAATAGTTTGCCTATTGCAAAGTTTCGCTTCTGGACTAATCAGGTCTACAGATTGGAACACGAGCTGCGCTCATGTGTAAAAAAAGGATGGAATACAGATATAGGACCACTCGTGTTGCGATATCTCTGTTGTGGATACGATGAGAAATTTAAGTTGATCGTTTATGTGAGGGTGTGCGTTAGCACCGAATACAACCGGCCTATGCAAGGGTCCTCCTCAGATGTCACCATGGCTCTAGTAAGGCCCGGCGGATAGACTTGTCAGAGAAAGCATACGCCCGATAACATCGGAACAGCCTGAATTGGCCCTAATATCTAGAGTCTAAAGTCTTTCTAATAACCGATGTGCCTCTTAAACACTGCCGTCACGGAAAGTATCTATTGGCAAACCATGCTGAACCGACTCAACTAAAAGTCGAGTAGAACAAAAATTATTATTTAGACAGCCATGTACGTTACTGTGCTTGCAACTAATCTGTGTTATATAGACATTGTTGTAGATTGTTGAAGTCCTCCTCTGGTAGACAGCACGCCACTGTTCAGGACTGTGTGTCAGCACCCCACTGTGTGACAGGTTTCGAAGAAACGCTGAAGACAAATATAGAATTAATTTCGAATCGAAACGCTATAATAACTATTTTAACAGTTACTTAAAATAGCACTAAATATAATGAGTAGTCCAGTATCTGATTCATGTGTAACGGTTACCTTCGACACAGATTAGCGATTTGTGGATGCCGTCTACTTTATATAGTATTGAGCTGTGTCCTCGACTTCTCATTGGTTTTAAAGAAATCACAAGAAAGCCTTTGACCAAGGGCGTTCTTCGCGGCGTACGATGCGATCGACGATGCTTCAATACTGTCGGTAACTATAAAAATTTGTTTCGTTAATTACATAATTCAGCTATCGTGTATATCGTTATAGGTGCATAACTATCGAGTAAGTTGAATGGTAGACCTGATCTGACAGCCCAAATCTTTTCATAAATCGTCATAAGCTATGCTATGTGCATGGTCTGCAACAACATTTTGAAAAGTAGAACTACCTTGGTAGAAAACTTCACATTTTTATTATATTTGGTAAAAAAGTTACATTTTCTCTTGGGACAGCGAGAAATTTAAAATAAATTTCCTATAACATATAGGCCTAGCAGAACAGAATGATCTAATAACTAGCAGTGCATTAAAATATCAGGCCTCACATCGGCCCACCGAAATTTAACGGATGATTTATTTATTCTTCAGCCGCCTTTGCGTTCACGTGCGCTTACACTGAAGACTAAAAACGCTGTAAAGATCACATAGTATAATTTCCTAGAAATTCACGTTGATAAATGCTTAGTGAAAATCCCTATATCAATATGGTATTGCATCTAATCTGAGCAACTACGATTCATACGTTCGCAAACGTCATTCAGTAATGCTGAGCACGTGGAATCCGTAAAAATAGTTACCAAATTTGTTTGCATCGTTGTTGCATGTAGAACCAGCAGCTTCAAAGAGGATGAACCTAAGCAGGTACGCCCCGTTTAGCGGCAGGTACGCCGAACTCGTACCTCTGCTACCCAATTTTGGTAATAAGTGTCCGGACTACCCGATGTACCCTTTGCAAATTCGAGTAGAGTATGTCACTGGTTTCGGTGCCAGAGGTCATCTGACTTTTAAGGATGCTCGCCTCAAAAAGTTCCAGTTGATCGTACCAATGATGGGTGACGCATTACCTGCAATTCAGATGGATGGCTACGTTAGATGCGGGCGACAGTCTCGTTTCGCCATCTTCGGAAAAGAACGTAAGAAAGGCCAGTTTGCAGGTCGAAATTTAACTGTTGTCCGATTTCGTGCACATTGAACCCGCATACCAGTATTGTTCTAACTTACCGAAGTTATTACGCATGACGTCAGATAACTGGACGAGTATATTATTAGCATCGCAGGCTAACACAAATATAGTAAGTGCGTTAGATCCGAACATCCAGGCCAATGCTGTCCTTCCCTCCCCCATATTTGTGACTTGTAATAAAATTTTACCATTGACTTGTTCGTGTTTCATGATAGGACCATTGCCCAAGATTGAATGTTCAAATCCAATGCAAAACAAAGTCCGTTTGCGTATTGCTTGATAAAGAGTCGAAATAAGGGTATGGCTTTCAGCCAGCACAACTTTTCTCAGTTCGATTCTTTATTGTTATAATTAGAAAAAAGGCTCATCCCAACAACAACATCTAGTAACTATAGTAAGCTGACCATGTATTAACCATTGTTGTTAAGCTCGTCATTTACTAAGTATGCGTAGTCATCGAATTAATATTGTTTCACAGTAATTAGTATACATATTTTGCTTGGTCATAACCCCGAGAACTGCACGAACTATCCAGCTTGCTACTTTAGCTACTTTAGTGATCTACTTCGACCCGACGATTCCGCTAGTATATAGCCATGTTGCTACATGCCTCTTGCATATGATCGTGCCTTGTTCGTTATCGCCGTCAAAAAAAGCTATAATTTCTAACGTTACTCACTAGTCGTCCCGACAGAATGCTATGATATATTATTAAATAGATATATGTTCGTTAATTGGTTACATTTCGACGACCCAGCCAGTCTGAAATGATCTACCGATCCCATCGTAAACAACCCGATTTTTTATTAGTTTTCCTAGCCCAACTAACTGAGATGTTATGGATGCACCCGGCAAATTTTCACGAAGTGGTTAATTCTAGAATGATTCGATCAGACTCAAGGCTTAAGGCTACCGAAGACAGTAATAAAATGTACGGGACGTTACAAATACTAAAAATGTTTAAGTCTTTTGCAGTTCGCTCGAAGAGTGAAATAGAAAGAGATCCTCCTTCTCTATTCGTGGAGCACCTACTAAATGCCATTAGTGGCAGTCGCGAGTATAGAGCAATTGTGGAACCATCAATTTTCCGACGCATACGAATGGACCAGATCTTTACTGAGGGGAAAAGTAAAGACTTATTCTTGCCGCTAGTAAGTTCGCATTGCTTTTCATTATTTTCTTATAATGCGGCACAAATATCCTGTCGTAACTATATTATACTGTACTGTGAAAAAATAACAGGATCGATCGAGAGCAGTAGATTTACACCGAACCGCACATGGGCAACTTTTTTTGGTAGTTGCCATGTGCTTTTCAGAGGTTTCGACACCGTACGGTTAATAGTTTGAGAGGAGTGAATTCATAATTAATGATTAGTCCTAATGAAGCATGACTGGCCATCAAAAAACACGGCGTAACTATCTGCATGAATTTCTATGCATTTCGTTAAGTACAAGCTCTTTTAGTTTAGTTTTCTAGACGTAACTGCTCTCTATGGAAAATAGTTCAGATGAGTAAACTTGCACTCACATGCCGCCTAAAGCATATAGCAATGCATATTTATAGATAAATTCTTAGCACCTTTCATCAATGATCAGCTTTATTTTCGAAAATCGCCTTAAAACCTTATTGAAAAAATTGTCGTTGTCATTTTGGTGTCATGGTCTTTTGTCATTGATTACGCCGCTCGCGGATTCTTAGTAGCAAATTTTGCATAGGTCTACAGCGATGAATACGTGGTAGTACAAAAGTTTTAACTTCGAATGAGAGAAAACTTAGATTAACAGGGAGAGATTGCCCGTCGAGAGCTATAAAGACATTTTCCGACTTTTTTTGACTGTTAAAGGGTCTTTTCTCTTTAATTGCGTTTTAATTAAATTAAATGCGTTAAATTTTAACGTTCTAGATTCGCTGTATCAGAAGGGTTTTAACACCAAAAATAGAGTGCTCCTTTCATATCTCTCGAAACACAGGGTAATTTTCTTTGATGAGTACCTTGACACCAGGTTCAACGGATTGGCCGCCGGACTCTGCCCATCTTTGCCTTTGAGTTTCGAATGGGAGAAGGCCCATTATTCATTACCAACAACAAATTGAAACACTAAATGTTTTTAACAAACAATTTGTATTATGTGATATCACGTTTGTGAAACCTGTCAGCAAAAAACGCCCTTTATCTCACGATTCACATAGCGCGCCATACATTTTAAACTGGGATCACTATCGTCATGGCTTCTGCTGAACTTTAGTCGTCTGACAACCTCTGAAGTTATTAATCCCCAAAACGTTTCGGCGTGTCTGGTCCGTCTATGATGGTCCAGAAAAAAAAACCTAGAAAATGTAGCCGACCGCGTATGAAATAAGTGAGATATGTTAATAACGATATCAGAGGAAGAAATTACCTTTTGTCAAACAAACTATTATACAAATTGTACGCTTTTTGCATCGTACTTTTACAATGTATCGATTTCGTCAAGTTGGATCTGTCAATTTATTGTTGTATTGCGAAACAAAGATCAAGATTTGTATGCTTGATCCTTAACCTCGAACTCACTTCTGTGAGTTATTACGCTATCATTTTGCCACATTAACCTATGTAATCCTAGACTATATACAATGGTGCATGCTTCTCTTCGAGACACCGAGAAGTGCTCAGTGATTTGATAATTTCGAAAAAATTGTAAATATCTATATTCGATCCTCTGCAGGTAACTGTAGCCGGTTTGACAAATTTTGATTACAACTGGCTCGACGTTAAGGACTATCGTATCTCTAAAAAAATACTGCTCACCTTCAAAATCAAGGTCCGTGAATCGACCATACACAGTGATTGGGAACATGCTACGTTTAACGGAACAGCCGTATTTAAGTTAACGCTTTATTTCGAGATTGTTGTAGAGGTACGATTCAATAAAACATCTAGTAGATCGAACTGAAGGTGAATTGCAAAT